GTAGGGAGCTCAAGAGAGACATATGTGCATCATGTTCAAACATGGCTTACAAACTACTCGGGTTACATGACTTGGTATGATTATTGTATGAATCTAGATGGTTGTTCCTCATTGTTTGAACCTCATAGGAGCTCTTCATTTATGTAGTTGGACACTCATCTAAATTGTAATCCAATGTTTAAATAAACTATGAATTTATGCATGGTTTATTCATTCTAATCAACTTTTTATTTTCAAACTTTTCATAACGCGCATTACATACCACTTATACTTCATCATATATATATATATATATATATCTTATTATTAGTAAATTTTGAGTTTTATTTGTTCAATACATTCATTGACAATGTACATAACATCTATGAAAGTTTTACACCAAAATTATGTGTTTCAATGCCTATATCTGTCATTTTTGTTGATTTCTTCCCGATACCTAAAACGATAACGATATATCCCCCGAAATATCCGTAAATTGGAGGCCCGATATTATCTGCACGGCCGATATTTTAATCCTTGCATTCACCTGAGCAATCTAATGCTATAGGGAAGTTAAATGAAAGCAAGAAAGCTCCCAATGCCATAGTTGTCTTTGAAGAAGATCAAGAAAGAGGGACAAGAAAGCATGGGCCTCGCGCATTTTGGTTGTTTTCCCGAATGCTGCAGAGACCTTTTTCTCTCGACTCAATTTGCTCTCTGAACTTTGATGACTATGGCTATCCTTAGTTTGTTTTCTTGGTGTAATTCTGTACTGTATTTAGCTTTAACTGAACGAGTAGTTGTCGTAAAGTGTATTGATGCTTCTGAATGCTTGATGTGTTTCGAGTTTCCTTTTCTTTCTTTTTTTTTCCAAAACCAAGTGGTGTTTTGCATTTCCCACCCTGCGTATTGTTTTTTTCATTTGTACTGGTCTGAAAAGCCCATGTAGTTGGCATATCATTAACCGGAATTCTATTGTCACCCCCAATTTCCAGAGAAGAAAAAAAATCCCTCAAATTCTTTTCCTCCGTAGTGCTGATTTTAAGCCCCATCAAAATAAAATAAATTAGGAGAAAAATGCGAAAAAGAAAAACACTCTACCCTAACTCACCCAGCCTGACAACTGCCCCTCCCCCAATTCACCTATGTTGAAGGCGACTCTCTTTTTGCCAGCCACCCCCTTCCTCATCTCTCTCCTAACTCCAACACCGGGTGGGTGATTAGAGACCTCGGGGTCTTCAGCCACCCATGGTGCTCTAGTGATGGAGAGAGTAAAAGGGGAAAAGGGGGGGGGGGGGGCAACGAGGGAGAGTTGTCGGGTGCGTGGGTTGGGGATGTTGGGATTTTTTGCTTTTGGGGTAAAGGGGGCTTCGGCATGAAATTTTCTTCCAAAAGCTAAATGAGGAGAGAAATCAAATCACTATTGGGATTCTAAATACACGTATGTATTTGTCTTGCTATTTTCTTCCAATTCCACCGCTGTCTTTGACGAAGATTCAGATTTGTGTGCTTCTAGCTAGAATAGAATCCCTTACTGTGAGTAAGATGTCCCATGCGAAGTCCTGCATAGACTGTCCATTCAAAATGACATAAACCATGTGTTTGTCACCAGTGGTCTAAAGTTAATCAAAGGATCATTCCACCCATAAATCCAATTAAACCTCTGTTAACAATCAAAGCCAAATAACTTCTTCTTGAGTTTTAATAAATACTCTCAAATATAACAAAAATCCACTTGATTAGACCCAAATAAACTATGTTTTGAGAATCTCACGGGCAAAATTTTGGGAGGGTTGTTACCAAGTAACATAAGAAGTATGAGAAATTTTTGTGTGAAACTGAGACACTGCCAAAATCTTAGAGCACCTCCAACAGTAGTAGCAAACCAAACTCTTCAAATTGAAGTTGGTTGACCTATTGGACAATTTGAAAAGGTTTGTTTGCTACTTTAATAATTTATGCCCAAGCATACTCTTGAATTCAATTAATGTAGTGTTTGTTATTTTAGTATTTTCAATATAGGTTTCTTCAAAAACAGGTGAAGAAAGTCTATGTATTTATTATTTTAAAAGAAAAAGTTCATGTTTTTAGCATTTTTAATGTAGGTTTTGTTCTTCCACGGTAAAATAAATGTTTTGAAGAGGCAAGGTTAAATTGTCAATTTTAAAGAGAGGGAAATGGGTTGCAGCTTTGGTGACTAAATTTGACAAGTCTGTGGGAGAGAGTTTTGCTAATGTGGCTCGTCCATTTTAGCATTCCAGTTGTTGGAGATGCTCTTACTATAATCCGCGAGTCAAAACATGGTTGGGTAATGGGTTTATAAGAGCACACACGTGTTATAACATGAGTTGGTAACATCACGTGATGTTGTCACACTCTCACCGAAAGTTTACTCTAAAGATTCTCGATAAGAATTTTAAATTTTAAATTTCAAATTTCAAAATTTTGGGGTTACAAAAGTATGAATTTTTACTATTTCTTACACTAAACCCACATCAGGAACCCTAAAAGACCCAAACCCCAGTTATTGTGCACAGCCCCAAATGATCAAAATTAGGGTTTTCAGCTCTGTCTGAATGGACTGGCAATCCATCACCTTCCCGTAGTCTGGACCAAGGAAGATGCATTCCAATTTTCTGGTGTCTATACATGAATGGTATGTGCCCCTATCAAGGCTACTCTGAGTTTATTTGGGTTCATTTCTTAATTTCTTTTGGTTCAGTGTATAGATGTATATACTACAAAATTAAATATAAGTATAATTGATGATTTAGCATTCAATCCGGTAACTCTACAATTTCCCTTGTAGCTAGACTGAAACCAACATCTCTTACAAAAGCAAAAAAGACACCCAATGGAACACAAGAGCAAGCTAATGGCAACTGCAAGTAGGCCAGGTCAAGCACGAATGCATGCTAAGAGCAGAAGGGTAGACATATTTAGTCATCTTCCTGACGAAGTTGCCCTTCGCATTCTTTGCCGCCTTTCTATAAAAGACCTCACTCGTTTCGGCTGTGTGTCAAAAAGATGTAGACAACTCTACCTGTTGTCTCCAGTATTGCATTTTGATGAATTTCCCAGGGCAAATACATTGACGTGTGGTAAAAGGCTGAAATTGATGAACTGTTTGGATAGGTATTTGGTTCACCGTGGGGATAATAAGATAATGAAGTTTAGTGTTTGTTGGGCTCGCCATCGATTACCTGCTGATGAGGCCACGCAATGCTTCTGTGATGAGTATTATAGAATCATGACATGGATCCACAATGCAGTAAGGTGTAAAGTGCAAGTTCTTGATCTTGAGATCTCTATGTTTGAGGACATGGCATTTCCATCTTGTGTCTTTCCTTGTGAATCTTTGGTGCATCTATCGTTGGACATGAAGTGTAGGATTGAAGTGCCCTCCACTTTTTCCTCTAATCTCCAGTACTTGGACTTGAGCAAGGTTATTATAGTAGATGAGGGGTTCTTCAAATGGATCTCGTGTTCTTGCAAAGTCATTAAGGAGTTAAACCTTCACCAAGTTTATGGGCCAAAAAATGTCACCATCGAAAGCTGGTCTCTGGAATCATTTTCTCTTGAGTGTCACAAGCTGATTGACATCTGCCACCTCAACATCTCCGGTGAGAAACTTGAAGAAATATTCATAGACTGGAAATTTGCTACCCCTAATGATAAATCATTAAGTATTTTTGCCCCGAATCTCGAAAAGTTTTATTGGTTCGGGAATTTTGTGCGCAACCCAAGTCTGGGAAACCCTGGATGTTTAAAAGAAGTGGGGATTTTTCTGGATCCTGAAGCAGATGACTATAAGTATGTATTTGATGATGTTTACACTTCATCCGAGGTTAACTTTCTTAATCTAAATGAAGAGACCATTAAGGTAAAGTGAACCCTTCATACATTTCATTATTGTTTTAAAAATTATGGATGCCATTGCCTTTACATTAAGAAAAGTTGCGGTAGCTAGATTGAAAACTCTTCTTCTTTTCTTTTTTTTTTTAGTTTTTGTTCAATAGAATTGAAAAGTAAATTGTGAAGCATGATGTTGTGTGCCTTTATAACATTGCAGGCTCTGTTTAGGGATGGATCCATGCCGGCTCCATTTGAAAATATTCGCCATTTGCGTGTTCATATTAGGAGCTTTATTAATGACCTAGTACCAGCAATGGTCTTTCTTTTTTCTGGACTGCATAACTTGTATACCTTATACATGAAGTCTAGCCCGCCTTTAGTCGAGCCCGAATCTAATAATGTAAGTTAAGACTTAAAAGTGGATGTTGTTTCTCATCTCTCTCTTACGCTTAGTTTTGTCATTTTAATCAAGACCTTGTTAAAGCAATTGGACTCTATATTTTGGTAGTTCTTAACTTATTTTTGTTGGAAATTTCAATGTCTTCTTGCTTTTTCAGGCATCTGGGTTTGTTATGGGACACTGGAGCATGCAAAACCTTGCTTTTATTAAACAGCTGAAGGAGGTTACGATAGAGCTTTCGCATGGATCTAATGGAGTTG